TGTTAGCGGTTCATGTATTGATGTACACATGACTGAACAAGACCAATTTATGTCAATGCAAGAGATGATGTACAATTCTCTCTGGCAACATCAATCATTTGAAGGACCCAATTGTCTTAACATAGAAGAGTCACCAAATGAAGCAATTCAAAGGTTTTATAATTTGTTGGCAGAGACAAATCAACCATTATTTGAGGGGGCAACAGATTCAAAATTGTCAATATGTGTTAGACTTTTAGCGTGCAAATCAAATTGGAATATTCCTAATCAATGCTTAGACTTTATGACACACATGTTGTTGGATGTCACACCTATAAAAGAAAATTTACCAAAAACTTATTACGATACCAAGAGATTAGTATCAAAGTTGGGATTAGAAGTGAAGAAGATTGATTGTTGTGTGAGTGGGTGTATGCTTTTTTATGACAATGACAATGGCAAAAAAGATGCTACATTACTTCAATGTAAATTTTGTCAAAAGCCAAGATATCATGAGAAAAGTTGTGGAACAACCCATAAAAAGCCAGTTCCAGTAAAGGTAATGTTTTACTTGCCTATAATTCCTAGATTACAAAGAATATTTGCATCAATGCAAACTGCTGGCTAAATGACTTGGCACCATGACAATAAAACTTCCGATGTATTACGCCATCCATCAGATGGTGAAGCTTGGAAACACTTTGATCGAAAACATCCAACTTTTGCTACTGATCCACGCAATGTCAGACTTGGGTTATGTTCTGATGGATTTAATCCATATATTCAGGCTTCATCTTCACCTTATTCTTGTTGGCCTATCATTGTTACTCCATACAATCTTCCTCCTGAAATGTGCATGACCAAGCCATACATGTTTCTAACTTGCCTAATTCCGGGTCCATCCAATCCGAAGGCCTCTATTGATGTTTACTTAGAGCCTTTAATTGATGATTTGAAAAAATTGTGGAATGGTGTTCTCACATACGATATTTCAAAGAAACAAAATTTTATGATGAGGGTAGCTTTAATGTGGACAATTAATGATTTTCCCGCTTATGGGATGTTATCTGGTTGGGGGACTCATGGTAGATTGGCTTGCCCACATTGCATGGAGCATAAAAAATCATTTACATTAAATTATGGTCGTAAAAGTTGTTGGTTTGATTCGCATCGAAGGTTCTTACCAAATGATCATCCATTTAGAAGAAATATTAAAGCCTTTCGAAAGGGAGAAGTTGAAGTAGAAGGGTCACCTCCTCGACTAACACCTACACAAGTTTGGAGAAGAGTAAAAGATTTACCAAAAGTAACTGAGTGTGGTATCACAAGGATAGAAGGATACGGAAAGTGGCATAATTGGACAAAGCGAAGCATATTTTGGGATCTCCCGTATTGGAAAGATAATTTGTTGAGACACAATCTTGATGTAATGCATATAGAGAAGAATTTTTTTGATAACATATTCAACACTATGATGAATGTAAAAGGAAAGACAAAAGATAATGAGAAGGCGAGGAAGGATATTGCTTTGTATTGTAAGCGTCCAGACTTGGAGTTAAAGGCACAAGCTAACGGCAAAATGTTAAATCCTAAAGCAAATTACACGTATAATATTGAACAAGCAAAGGTAGTTTGTCATTGGTTAAAAGAACTTAGGATGCCCGATGGTTATTCTTCCAACTTGGCAAGATGTGCTGATGCTGAAAAGGGGAGGATTCATGGCATGAAAAGTCATGATTGTCATGTATTCATGGAATGTTTACTTCCTATTGCATTTAGTGCGTTACCAGTACATATTTTGAATCCTCTTATTGAAATTAGTCATTTCTTCAAAGATTTGTGTTCTACAACGTTAAAGAGGGAAATGCTTATTAGGATGGAAGAAAATATTCCAATCATTCTTTGCAAGTTGGAGAGAATATTTCCTCCTGCATTCTTTGATTCAATGGAACATCTCCCTATTCATCTTCCATATGAAGCTTGGCTCGGTGGACCAGTGCAATATAGGTGGATGTATCCATTTGAAAGGTGATGAAATGATTGTCCTATATGTGTTTTATATGTTATTTTGATTAGTTTGATCAATCATAATCTTGCTTCTTAAATTGTATAGATTCATGGGGGAGTCTAAACGATCGGTAAAAAATAAGGCTAAAGTTGAAGGATCAATTTGTGCAGCTTACTTGCATCGTGAGATGACATATTTTTGTTCTCATTATTTCAATAACTTCATGTTGTCACCACGACAACCTAGAAATGAAATATATTTCCAAAGTCAAACACAATTGTCAGTGTTATCAGTATTCCGACAAGTTGGTCGTCCATCTGGGCGGGAGTTGACTCATTGGTTAACTGATGCTGAATTCAAGTCAGCTCATGTTCATGTATTAATCAATTGTCAAGAAGTTAAACCGTACCTTGAGTACATTCAAAACACATATCTTTTGGTAACTTTAGCATCATAATTCTGGTGATGATCATTTGTGAAATACCAACAAACATACATGATTTGGCTTTTACCTTCCTTGTTTTTCTTTCTTTGTAAAATTTGATTTGAGCTATGATGAGATTTTCAGATAGTGGATCAATGATGTAATCCTCGTTCACAGCTTCCCATATATTCAATCCTTCAAGATAGGATTGCATTCTCACAGTCCATAAGTCATAACTTTTGTCATCGAAATTAGAATAGTGACTTGTGAAAAACTTCTTTCTCTTTCCATTTCCTTGTAAGAACCAAAGCTCTTAATACCACTGATAGGAATTTGTAGAGTTTTGTATATGTATATTTCTGATATGTTATATGGGTATATATTTAATTCATTTACTCAATCCATATATATATATATATATATATATATATATATATATAGATAGATAGATATATAGAGAGAGAGAGAGAGAGAGAGAGAGAGAGAGTAAAATATGACATAATATCACATCATAATAATATCTCATAACTTTCTAAATCAAAATAATAATCTAATATTTTTTCATATTATTTTTTTAAAAGATAATAAAATTTCTTAATACCTAATTTAGATGAATGATAATAAAGTAATATTCTCGACAATTTCTTTATTATTTTTTTATTTTTTTCCTCTCATTTAAAATTATATACATGCAATTGTTATTAAAATTTCAATTTTGCATAATTAATTTTATATTTAATTAATTAAATAATTTATTAACAATATATTGAATAAATATATATTAGGTTGGGAGTTCAATTAAATCAAAATATGATAAATAAAATGTATGCATTATTAATTATTAGATAAAATAGTGAATTTTTTAAAACTTTGGAAATTAAAATAAAAAAAATTAAATTAAAAAATTAAAATGAACCAAAATTATAATTTAAAATATACTAGGAAAAACTTTTTATTATAACTTACAAAAGAGAAAAAAATGTATAAATTAAAATTAAAATTTTTAAAATTCTACGTATGACTCAATATTGAAAAGGACGAAAATTCTACGTACTTAAACTTAGCTTTCCAAATTACAATAATGCTTAGTTGTCCACATTATATAGAGCCAAATCACTGGCTGAAATTTGATGTCATCCAAATTATACATGGTAAAGAATCTGTGTATTCTTCCCTGTTGCAAGAAGTTGGACTGGGTCTGTGGTAAGGTCCTTCCCCACTCTGAATTTTACCACCAAATAGGAATATAGAAGATGAAATGTTTACTTTGATTTCTTCATGTTTCCCATGTTTTTAATTGAAAAATACTCCTGAACTTCAAAAGCATGAGTGATTTGGTGGTTGTCTAAATTGAGAAGTAACTTTTTGAAAAACAAAACAAAACAAGATTCGGTGAGATAGTATGAATTCTTCGCTGAAATGCTGAAATATATTCGTCTATTTTCTTTGTATGAGTTGGTCAAGCTCAAGTTGCCTCTCGCTTTCTTCTTGTTAATACCTTCCAATTGTTGTATAGATTGACCATCTACAATTCTCGCTTAATTCAAACCTAATTTCAACTATCTGATTAGATTTGTTAGTTGTAAATATGTTTGCTATTCTTTTAATTTAATTAAGTGTTAAACATGTTTTAAATGTTTAGAAAGTTGAAAATATGAATGTGTTGATGCTATCTGCATGACTGTTTATGCTGTCATGAACAGATTTTTGAAGATGTAACTTCTTTACCATTCGATGTCAGTTTTGTTAAGTTAACCTCATGTTATGTTTGAATGAACTATAAGTTCCTAAGTGAAAAGCAAGCAACTATTCAAGGAAAAAACAAACATCTAAGGGTCACTGATTGGTTTAGAAATAAGAGAGGATTATAGTAAAGATAGGAATATAAGGAAAAATGGATGATTCAAGATCTTTATTTCTTAACTCACATATCCTCCCCTTTGAACCCACAGAAATGTATTTTAAGGACAAAACCATGATGAATTAGAGTTTCAACATGCTGACAATACCTTGAATATGATAATGCTGAAATGTATTTTAAGGACAAAACCATGATGAATTAGAGTTTCAACATGTAGACAATACCTTGAATATGATAATGAATCCTAAAAATGTTATCATAAGGAACATGAGACCTGAACATTATTGTTTTATTTGGAACACACATATAGGCTGATAAGAGCATAACTAACTTGAGAGATTAGAGGAAAAACAATATCTCATGAGATTGGATCTATTTGCTTGTCTGTGCATGTGTAATATCTAACATAATCTATCTTCTCCTAGCTCTGCTCTTACACTTAATATCAGTGACATGTAGTCTTGCATCCTTTTGAGTTGCTTCCCCTCCCTTTTGAGCCTCATATAATTCCTATTTTGTTCTTCCGATTCAGCAATTGAGTCCTCTTCTCTTTCTCATCAATCATATCAATCACTAAACAACATCATATTTGATAAATGATGTTTAATTATTCTTCCCTTGTTGAGCAAGAATATAAAGTATGATCATTACAGGTACAAAACTTGAAATGCATAACGGTTGAGCAGCAAATTATCGGTGCTGTTGCTTCTTACTCTTACTCGTCTTCTATGGTATCTTCTAAAAGATATGATGTCTTTCTAAGCTTTCGAGGTGAGGACACCCGCAAGAAATTCACAAGCCATCTTTATGATGCTTTGAAGCAAAAGAAAGTTGAGACCTTCATAGACTATCGTCTTGAAAAGGGAGAGGAAATTTCAACAACACTAATCAAAGCCATCGAAGATTCTCATATATCTATTGTCATCTTATCAGAGAACTATGCTTCCTCAAAATGGTGCTTGGGTGAATTATGTAACATTATGGAATGTAAGAAAGAGAAAGGACAAATTGTGATACCGGTGTTCTATGACGTAGATCCATCCCATGTACGGAAGCAGACTGGAAGCTATGAGCAATTCTTTGTATCACATAAGGGAGAACCCAACTGCAACAAATGGAAAGCTGCTCTCACTGAAGCATCCAATTTAGTTGCATGGGACTCTCGAGCTTACAGGTAAATTAAATTAATTGCGAGTGAGTAAAGTTGAGTTGTCCAAATTTGATTTTAAATTAAGCATACATAGTAGTTTGCTTGAGAAGTTTGTTGCATAGAAAAAAAGAGAGGCAGGCATTGATTATCACATCTAAGGCATTGAACTTATATTCTCATAAACTTTGGGTTTAGTTCTAACTTTATCTGTTCATATCACCATGATCTTCAACAAACTTTTGTTTCTCTTCTACACTACCATTATTGGTGACAGATTATGTGTAATAATATATAGTTTTTTTCTTATATATATATAAATATATATTTTGAATTCGTTATACTTATTACACATAATTTATTTTTGTTACCCTTTTCATATGCAAGAGCTGAGTCTGAACTCCTCAAGGATATTGTTGAAGATGTTTTGCAAAAATTGGCTCCTATATACCCTAACTGACACAAAGGATTGGTTGGAATTGATGAAAATTATGAAAAGATAGAGTCACTGCTAAACGTTGAGTCATATGAAGTTAAAATCTTGGGAATATGGGGCATGGGTGGAGTAGGTAAAAGCACCCTTGCTCGTGCTTTATATGACAAACTTTCTGATGAGTTTGAAGGTCATTGCTTCCTTGAAAATGTAAGGGAAGAATCAGACAAGCATGGAGTCAAAGCTTTACGTAATAGACTTTTTTCTGAGTTGTTAGAGGATAAAAATCATTGTTTTGATGCACCCTTTTCAGTAACCCAGTTAGTTATGAGTAGGCTAGGACGCAAAAAAGTTTTCATAGTCTTGGATGACGTAGCTACCTCAGAGCAATTAGAAAATCTAATTGAAGATTTTGATTTCTTGGGACTCGGAAGTAGAGTCATTGTTACAACTAGAAACAAGCAAATATTTAGCCAAGTTGATGAAATATATATGGTCAAGGGATTGAGCTTTCATCACTCTCTTCAACTTTTCAGTTTGACTGTTTTTAGAGAAAAACAACCTAAACATGGATATGAAGATCTTTCAATAAGTGCAACTTCCTATTGCAAAGGTGTTCCTTTGGCTTTAAAAGTTCTTGGTGCAAGTCTTCGTTCAAGAAGTAAGGGAGCATGGGAATGTGAACTGAGAAAACTCCAAAAGTTTTCAAATAACAAAATTCATAGTGTATTAAAATTAAGTTATGATGGCTTAGATCACTCTCAGAAGGACATATTTCTAGACATTGCATGCTTCTTTAGAGGAAAACAGATAGATCATGCAACAAACATATTGGAAGCTTTTGATTTTTCTGCAACATCTGGAATAGAAGTCCTTCTGGACAGAGCTCTAATAACAATTTCAGGTGGCGATCAACTAGAAATGCATGACTTGATACAAGAAATGGGTTGGGAAGTTGTTCATCAAGAATGTATCAAAGACCCTGGAAAACAAAGTAGGTTGTGGAAACATGAGGAAGTGTGTGATGTCTTGAAAAATAACAAGGTAAATTAAAAGCACTTTTGCTTCTATTGGTGTATCTTTAAATAATTTAGCTAGTATAGTCCTTGCTAATGACTATTCTATTTTTTTTTCTTATGTAGGGAACTGAAGTTGTTGAAGGCATAATTTTAAATTTGTCTAAATTAGTTGAGAATCTATTTTTGAGCTCTGATTCCCTTGCAAAGATGACTAACATGAGATTTCTTAAAATCCATGGTTGGAGCAAGTTTACAATATTTAATGTGTGCTTTCCTAATGGTCTAGATACACTGTCTCATAAAATGAGGTACCTTTACTGGGATGGATTCTGTCTTGAGTCTTTGCCATCTAACTTTTGTGCTGAACAGCTTGTAGAACTTTGCATGCGTTGTAGCAAGCTTAAAAAGCTTTGGGACGGGGTTCAGGTATGATCTTGTTATATATACTACAGCTTTTTTTTTTTTTTTTTCACTCTGTAAAGTTACAAGAGAAAAAAATTATTAGTTATAGTATGAATCACCACATATTTATGGTCTCAGTCAATCTCTATATGACATATTCAAGTTGTTTAATTTGCCAGAAGAATAATAACACTTGATTACATGTTCCATGAAGATTAAATGCAATCATAATATGGTCCTAGATTCTTAAGTGGTTATCTATTGTCTTGTGTTACCTCAAGTAAAGCTTAACCATATGAGTCAACCCTTGGATGATGTGATTCTATGTATTCTTAAATTTTTCTTCAGTCGAGGCTCATGATTTTGAATTAACAATTTTGAACAGAACCTTGTGAATTTGAAGACAATTGACCTGTGGGGATCCCGAGACCTGATTGAGATTCCAGACTTATCCAAGGCAGAAAAACTTGAAAATGTTTCTCTTTGCTATTGTGAAAGCTTGTGGCAGCTCCAAGTCCATTCAAAATCTCTTCGTGTACTAAACCTTTATGGTTGCTCATCACTGAGGAAATTTTCAGTTACATCAGATGAACTGACAAAATTGAACCTAGCTTTCACTGCTATATGTTCATTACCATCATCAATTTGGCTCAAAGGGAAGCTTAAATCTCTTTACCTTAAAGGTTGTTGCAATCTCCAGGAGTTAACAGATGAACCAAGAATTTATGGTTCTCAGAAGCACTTCTCAACATTCGCATCTAATGTTGAGAGATTGTCTATGAACATCAAAAACCTTTCAACACTGACAATGCTTTGGTTAGATGATTGCAAGAAACTTGTGTCTTTGCCGAAGCTTTGGCCATCCCTTGAAAAGTTGAGTGCTAGTAATTGCATTTCTCTAGACTCATATGTCACTCAATGGCTAGTGTTACAACACATGTTACATAGCCGCATACCCTACATACGCAAACACTATCTAAAGTGTTATGATGAAGAGTATTTCTTTCCAGGAGACCATGTGATTGATGAGTGTGGATTTTGCACAACAGAGAGTTCAATAACTATTCCTTATCTTCTGAAAACTGAATTGTATGGTTTCATTTACAGCATCGTTCTATCGAAGGGATCAGTCTTGCAGAGTGATGTTTCATGTTCTGTTTATCAAGATGGCATAAGGGTTGGCTGGCTTCAAAGATTGTTGGAGTACGAAAGTTTGATTTCCAATCACGTGTTGTTTATGTATCATGACATCAACGAATTTCATATAATAACTGAACTGCATGGCCATTTCTTCTGCAACATAACATTTATATTTGAGAACAGTGGAGAAAGCATAAAAGAGATTGGCGTCTTTCCAATATATGGCTCAGGATCAGGGTTGAAGCTGGCTGACTGGCAGCAGAGAAGTTTTTGAGTCGAAATCCATTACTCAAATCTTTGAATATAGAAACTACCCATGTGTTTAAAATCGGACAGGCAACTCATCAGGTAAAGAGTGTTTTAAAAGTTTGGATGGAATTTAATAAAATAATCTTTTTATAATATAAAAAATATATAATAAATTTATTAATAATAATATTTTTTATTATTGTTAGATATGATTAGATATTAGTTGATATTGTTTGATATTGTTGATATTGTTAATCACAATATCAAATAATATCTTTTTATTTACCCTATTTGTATTCTGTTACTCTTTAGAGGAGTACCTTTCTTTATTATAAATACACTGCCCTATGTGTGGTAAATACATAAGGGAAATTAACCCTATACAGCTTTTTCCCTATATTCAACATGGTATCAGAGCTTAAGGTCTCTTGGGATTTTTTTTCGGCTCTGCCACTAAACCTGCAGCTGTCGCCGCCTCCATCGCCGCCGCCGTCGCCACCGCCGTCCGCCGCCGCCGCCGCTGCCGTCGCCAGAGTAGCAGTTCGGACCGCCGAGCACAGGGTTTTGCTCGCCTCCTCCGTGCGACCTCCACCGTGGAAGTTTCGCGATCATCGGAGCAGCCACGCTCCCTCACGCGCCTCCCGAAGCCGCGCCACCTTCTCCCGTCTCGCCGCGCGTGGCGGCGCGTCTCGCCATACAAAATTGCAAAAACTGTCCTGAGTTACAAAAAAAATTATCATACACTACTACAGAAAACACTTACTACGACAGCATCCAACGTCGGTTTTTATGAAGACCGACGTTGTACAAGACGCTGTGGCAAACTTGTATTTAAGAAACAATATTTAACGTCGGTTATAAAAAATTTGATGTAGTAACGGACAAATAACGTCGGTTAGATGACAGACGACGTTAAATGTTTAAATTTAACGTCGGTTATGTATAACCGACGTTGAAATCCCAAAATCAACGTCGGTTCCATGATTTACCCGACGCCGAAAGCATTATCCACGTCGGGTTTTTTAATAACCGACATTGAATGTCCTATGATACCTAGACTCCAAGGCGCGAAGTTGTTCTTCTGCTTCTTCTTCGTGCCCACATACCTACCTCCTTCAGTCCTCACTGTCGTGCACTGCTACCTCAGTTCGTTGTGGTCTGCTGCCTCAGTCCTCACTGCCGTGCTCTGCCCCCTCGCCGCCCACTCGCCGCGCTCTTACGCGGCGTACCCCCGTTGTTGTCGTGTGTGTGGTAGCCCTCGTTTCCCTAAGGAAACCCCTTCTCATCAGGTTAGATTAAGTTGTATGGATGATTTACAACAGTCATTTAACATAAATATGGATTATTTAGAGCATTTCCTGCGTATGAACATTAGAAAGATGATGGATGATTTTGTATGGTTTGATTTGATATAGCTACACCAGTGTAACTTGAAAATTATGAGGCAGAACATTTTAAGTATTGTGATCTTGATTAGAGGTTGTTGTAAATCAAGATCATTTGATTAGGTTGTAATCAGCTTTAATTTGAAAAACTCTAAGTTAAGGTTGCTTGGTTAAAACTAGATGTAGATTCAAGAAGAATCGAACCAGTATAAATTTATGAGTCTTTTCTTCTTCTCTCTATCTTGGTATTCTTGTTTTCTGAAAACTGTGATAATTATTTTGTAATTGATTATTAGAGAAAGTTCTCTAATAATTTATTAGAAATTCAAAAGATTTTTTTGAAAACCCATTTCAACCCCCCTCTTAGGAAAGTTCTGTCATTAACATTTTATTAACAATTGGCCTCAAAGTTGGGTTATCAAAAGCTAATTGATTTTGATCCAAAAAGAATGACTAACATTTCTCAAACTTTTGCTGAAGAGGCATCTATAAACATACCTCCTTTGTTTTCTGGTGAAGATTATCCATTTTGGAAAATAAGAATGAAGATGTTTCTTGAATCTGTTGATAAAGGTGTTTGGGATGTTGTTGTTAATGGTCATTTTCAACCAACCAAGGTTAAGGATGATATAACAATTGTCAAAGATTTTAATGAATAGACTCCTAATGAGAATAAAAGAGCTCACTATGATGTTAGAGCTAGGAATATTATTTCTTCTGCATTAACACTTGATGAATTCTATAGAATCTCTATGTGTGAAACAACCAAAGAAATGTGGAGTGTTCTTGAAGTCACCCATGAAGGAACTGAAGAAGTAAAGAGAGCAAGAAAGAATACTCTCATTCAAGAATATGAAATGTTCAGAATGTTAAAAGATCAAAATTAAGGAAGAAACATAAGGGGGAATCTTCCTCTATTGTTGACAACGCTGGTGGACACGTTGAAGCATGGTTCAATGGAGACATTGACAAGATGAACAACTTCATTTCAAATTTTAGCCAAAAGAAACTGGTGATTCCTAAATACATTAAGTTTGCTTGGTTGGATGAAGAATGCTTTACCTCACTGAGAAGAAAATTGAAAAGACAAAAGTTGAAGACTTTTCTAGAGCACACTAGCAACATCCAACCTGATCTTGTGAGGGTCTTCTATTCCAACCTCATGGTCAGTGGCTCCACATTAAGGTCTCAAGTCAAAGGTATAAATTTGGTGATCACCCCTGAGGTATGGGAAGAAGTGGTTGGTCTTCATGATGTTGGTGTAAAGGTATCCAGAGGTAACACTGTAGAGTTACCAGATTTTAACAAAATTCAATTTTTCTGCATCTGTCTCAAAAATCAACATGATTCTGTAAGAACTCTTAATGTTGGGAAGATGGAGCTTGAACCAAGAATTCTTGCCTTCATCATTGTCTGGATGCTTACTCCAAGGGGGAGTAATCATGTTTTACTCAATGAGGGTGGTTTAGCTCTCATGTACTACATTGAAAATAATATCCGTGTAAACTGGATTTTTGTTATCAAGGATCACATGATAAAAGCAAAAAGATTGGTTGATTACAAACTTCCATATGCTATGTTAATTAATCAATTTTTTAGATACTTTGCAGTAGATCTTGCAGGAGAATATGTGGAGACTCCAAAGGCCTCCAATAATATTGATGATTCCACTTTGCAGAAGATGAGATTTATCAAAATTGATGGAGGGTGGATCTCAAAGATTGATGCTGGGATGTCCGAAGATGAGGATGAAGATGAAGAAGAAGTTGATCAAGATCAAATCCCTTCTTCTCCGGCTGTTGAGGTTCCCGAGTCCACTGATTATCAAACCTCATATGAGAATATGGAGATCATACCATACATAGAGCAACCTGACCGAGGAACTGATAGGTAAACTAATAATTAAATATGATCTTTAATCTAACGATCAAATATAAAGTAATCTCATACTGTAAACATGTTATAAACTAAATGCGAAAGCGTACCTGAATTAGCCATAATGATGATGTCCCTTTTAGAGCACTATTGATCTTATGGTCTTCCACCTGAAGAGCACCTGTATTTCCCTCTTGATTTTCTCTCTTGATGGGGATAGAAAGAAAAGAACGGGACTGTAACTGCGTTCTGTCTATGTGCTCCCAGAAGGGGAGCATGACCCCTTAAAATAACCAAAATTAGGTTAATTACTTAAGTTTTAGTATTTCCAATTTGGCCCCTCATCAAATTAGAAATTGTTGTATGGTCTCTACACAATTTTATTTTCATGACATATGCCTTTAGCCAAACCTTTTTTTTTTTAATTTAGTCAGATCACTTTATTATTTGGCTTAATAAATAATGACCCTAACACATTTAAATATGTATCATATATATACATGACCCAAGTTTTGCCAACAATCTCCCACTGGTCACAAATATATATGTCCTTATAACCTCACAAATGTGTTAGACTTTATGAGCTCAAAATTGTCATTATATTCCTTTAGCATATTCCAAAAGTCTTGTCCATTAATCATATCAGGATATAGAACCAAACCAGTTTTTCATTGCATCATCGCAACTAAAACCAATAATGATTACTCATCCTGACATAACCAAATGACATGGATTCATCATGAAATGTGTAGCATGAAAAATTACGTGAAGGTGATCTGTACACGTCTATTTTCAACTGGTCCAAACTTTAACTTATCGAGATCGATATAATAACCTTAATGTACAAAGTTTAATGAATGAACAAAAAAACCGCATATCTATAGATAACCAAATATGTCCAAAAAATCAATGTATACATATATAAAATTAAACATAGAACATAAAATATATGAAAATGACTAACTCCCACTAAACTGCAAATTCCTCAAACTGTAAAACACTCATGTGAGCAACATGGTCATGAAAGACCTTGGGCGGAAGTCCTTTAGTTAGAGGATCTTCTATCATGGAGTTTGTCCCTAAATGTTCTATGGAAATCTGTCCACTCGTACTCTTTCCTTAACAACTAGGAACTTAATGTCGATGTGTTTTGACTTAGTCGAACTTCGTTGTTGTTGGAATACAATACGATTGATTTGTTGTCATAATATAACTTAAGTGGTCTTTCAATGCCTTTCACAATTTGCTACCCGTGACAAAATTTCTCACCCATATTCCATGATTCGACGCCTCATAGCATACTACAAATTCTCGCTGCCATAGTGGATGAAGTCGTAAGGGTTTGCTTGACATCGCGCCAAGAAACCGCACCACCCGCTAACATGAAAATGTAACCCGAAGTGGATTTCAAACTATCTTGACATCCATCAAAGTCCGAGTCGAAAACCCAGCGATCTCCAACGGTCCGACCTCCCGTATGTGAGCATGTAATCTTTTGTTCTCTTTAAATATCTCATGACCCTTTTTGCCGATTTCCAATGGTCCATTCCTCGGATTGCTTAAATATCTCGCCTAGAACCCCAACTATGTATGCTATGTCCGGACGCATACATACTTAGGCATACATCAAACTCCCTATAGTTGATGCATAGGGAATCTTTTGCATTTCCTCAATTTCCAAATTTCCCTTCGGGCACTGATTGAGACTAAACTTGTCTCCCTTAGCAACTCGGAGTATCCCCGATTTACATTCATGCATGCCAAA